CTCTCATGCCGACCACTAATGTAGTCAAACACCATTGATACCTATCGCTCTTTGAGACCACACAGTAAATAAATCACAACCTCTGTTTTAGCTATTTTTTTAAAACTTGTCATTTCTAATACTTTAATTTGATTTCTTCACATCCTTTTTGCCTTCAAAAGGTCAAGCTCAATCAGCATTGCGGTATTTTTGTCACATTAAATCCAGCTGGCGCCGACTATGGAGGCCGCCAAAAATTACCCGGGAACATACAAGCACTCTTTCGGCCAATTGTGATGCAACAACCAGAGCCGTTGGAAATATCACGTGTCATGCTATTTGTGGAGGGATTTCAACACGCCAACGAAATTGCCGAACGCATTGTCGAACTCTTCGATTTGTGCACAAAAATGTTATCCGCCCAACGCCACTATGATTGGGGCTTACGCGAGTTGAAAACCATTTTACTAGCTTGCGGCGCTGAACTACGTACTCAGTTAAGCAACAACAAAAAGCTCAAGAGCATTGACATTACAACAGCAGACACTACGGTTAACAGTTTGAATATGGAAATGTCAACTGTAGTATACATGTTACGCATGTCCATTCTATCGAAACTCCATCTACACGATGTGGCGCGATTCGATATGTTGGTGACAAACGTTTTTCCGGAAATTGAAAAAGTCGCTTTTTGCAAATCTGAGCTGCAAMAAGCGTTAGTTGAGGCCTTTGGGAAACTCGGACTCTGCGTCAACGACATGCAAATGGGAAAGGCGCTGCAGTTGCATGAACAGCTCAACAAGCGTATGGGAGTGGTGGTAGTAGGACCTCCAGGGTGTGGAAAGTCGACTGTAATCACATTGCTAAGACAAGCTTTGATGTCGACTGTCATGCAGTCGACAACAACCGCTATGACGGCAATGAGCGCGACACAAATCCGACTACATACAATCAATCCRAAATCGATGAGTCGCGTTCAACTGCTCGGTCGCCTTGACCCAGACACGCGTCAATGGATGGACGGCGTGTTGACCAATACGGCTGTAATGGTGAATGCGGAGCCGTCAAATATTCACTCGTGGATAGTGTGCGATGGCAGTATTGATCCAGAGTGGATTGAAGCTTTGAATTCCGTGCTAGATNGGTGAATGCGGAGCCGTCAAATATTCACTCGTGGATAGTGTGCGATGGCAGTATTGATCCAGAGTGGATTGAAGCTTTGAATTCCGTGCTAGATGATAATAGGTGAGTGAAAGTGTATTAAGGTCATAAGAAGTGGTTAAGTGAGTCAATGAAATGTCAGCGRAAGTTGCTTACCATAGAGTCAAGCYAAGTGAGTTAGAAAGCATTTAGCGGATATGTGGCTGTTGGACGCTYAAACTGCGTATCAATACCAAAGCATCAAGTTGTGGAAGTACGCAGGTCTGTTGCAGTCGGATATTAAGGGGGGAGCCTGCTTTAGAAGCTTCAAAAAATCGTTTTTTTTTTTTCCTGCCCAAATCTCTTTAAAAATAATCGAAGAATATATGCCCAAAGTTATAGATGAGAATTCGAAATATTTTCGAAGCTAGAAGGGAAATAGTGACCGAGCGTCTATCATATGGGATTAAATTATCTTCTAACAGTCAAGTTTGGACATATACCGTGCCCAAAAAATAAGCACATTTGAATTTAAACTGCACGCGTCGAAGGATTTGGAGAGTTACTTTTTTTTTAAGTTGGTAGTACTGTCAGTCACATTTATGTCAAATTTCATGTAAAAATATTCATTAGTCTTTGAGATACGTGTCGTTTTGTGAGCTGCTAAAAGTGAGTTTTTCGTTTTTTGCGATGTCGAAATTTGTTGAGCAAAGAATTTTTCATTAAACTTTGTTTACGGAATCAGCCTTTGGTGATGATGCAATGACTAAAAAAAATGTTTACAAGTGGTATAGTGAGTTCCAAGCCGGCCGTGAACGACGAAGAGCGTCCAGGGCGACCATCAACCTCAACCGGTCAAAGATCTGGTGTTTGGAAAACGGTCGATTAACAATTAGAGACCTTGCTGATGAAGTCGGCATATCGGAAGACCCAGCCAATACCATTTTGAAAGATGTTTTGGGCCTCAAGCGCGTCAAATCTCGACTGGTACCGAAAACATTGAATTTTTTGGAAAAACGGCGTCGCGTTGAAGTGTGTGAAACGATGCTTTCCGACTAGCAGGGTGTCATGAAACGCATTATAACTGGCGATGAAACTTGGATCTATGCTTACGACYCYGAAACAACCGATCAATCGAGCGAATATCGTGCCAAAAGAGAGCCGAGACCAAAAAAATCGCGCCAAGGGCGCTCAAAAATTAAGGTCATGTTGACTGGTTTCTTCGACTATCGTGGTGTTGTGCATTATGAATTCCTTCCAACCGGTCAAACAATCAACAGGGAATATTATTTGAACGTTATGCGTCGTTTGCGTAACRCTGTCCGCCTAAAAAGGCCGGAATTGTGGAAGACAATTCTAGGTTTTTACACCACGATAATGCACCATCCAATACTGCCCTCGTAATTCGTGATCATTTCGCCAAAAACTCAACCCATATCGTTCCGCAACCACCGTATTCACCTGATCTGGCGCCGTGCGACTTCTGGCTGTTCACTAAGCTCAAAAGACCGCTCCGGGAACACCGTTTTTATACGATAGAGGAGATTCAAGCCG